ACACCCACTGACACTGCTGTTCTGTTCATCTGCAGGAGGAGGGATGCTGGCTGTTTGCGCCTGTTGACTGCTGGGAAAATCCCACAGCAAACACACCAGTGCGAGCTCTGATGAGTCAGTTGGACTTGCTGTGTGACAAGGCCCTGTCTGTGCACCTGGCCGAGTATTCCATCCCTGTGGCTGCTGCGTTGGCTCTGGAGAAAGTCGGGGTGGGGAGCACCAAGTCATGGCAAGATATTTGGAAAGAAACTGCAAGTTCCTTAGACTGGGATTCCTTGAGTGTAGTGTGAGGGGCAGAAAGGCAGCCAATGGAGCATGGGTCAGAGAAAGCCCAAGTTCCCTGTTTTGTGGAGAACAGGCCCTGGAAGAGAAGCAAGTAGGGGAAGGTCCACAGCCAGTCAGTGGTGAAGTCAAAACTGGAAACAGGACCGGGCATGGCAGCATATGCCTGTAATCCCAGCACTCAGGAGGCTGAGGCAGAAGGATCACGGTGAGTTCAAGGCCCGCCTAGGCTACAAAGTGAGTCCATGACCAGCTTGGATTGCATAGTGAAACCTTGTCTCAAAACAAACTGGAAACAGGTCCTTACCCCCTTGAGTTAAAATGCACCTGTGGGGTTTAAATTTACAGAGGTCTGCCTTGGTTACTTTTCTCTCGTTGCTGGGACAAAATGCCTGACACCCAAAATTAAAGAAGGAAAGGTTCATTTAGCTCACGGTTTGTGGAGGTTTTAGTGTGTAATCAGCTGGCTCCAAGGCAGAGTGGCACATGGCAGAGGGCAACAGTTCCCGGAGGCAGAAGACAGCAAAAGCAGTAAGAACAAAAGGAAGGAGTGGCAGCGGGAAGAGCAAGTCTCTTTCCCTCCCTTATACTGTATGCAAACTACTTGCCCTGGGGCCTGGTAGCTCGCACACCCATTCCAGCATTGGACCATGGATCAATCACAAACTCTAGAAGACTGCACCATGACTGCATGAGGCTCTGGGGGCAGGGGCATTCAGACACAAACCATAACTAGGTGACTGATGACACTGAGGCCCATGCCACGGAATGAAGACTGTGTCAACTGCATTTTCCAGACATGAGGGCACTGAGCCATGTAGTGTCACAGGGACTCACCAGAGTCGGCCAGGAGGCAGAAAAACTTAGACCACAGTATTCCTGAGGTTTCCTCAGGAAAGACAAAGCAGGGAGGGAAAGATGGAGAGTTCTTAGGATTTCTCCAGGCACGTGGCTCCCAGAGGGCCTTGGGCCTGGTTCCTGATGCTGGGTGATTTGGGGCAGGGGAAATATTGGCTTGGAGTATGAGAGGGCATCTGAATTGGGGATTGGCTTTTAAGATTTTTGTTGTTAAAGTCTTAACAACACCTAATCTTATCAGCACCTTAGGACATTTCTGTCCCTACTAGTGCCCCTGTGGAATTTACCTGATGTTGGGCAATTTAATGACAGCGGTCTCAAAAAAGCAAGGCAGGGTCTTGCTATGTATATAGTTCAGGCTGGCCTTGAACTCACTGTGTATTGCAGGCAGGCCTTGAACTTGTGGCAATCCTCCCGCCACAGCCTCCCAAGTGCTGGGTTATAGGCATGTGCCACTATGCCCAACAGATTTTTTTTTTTCTTTTTTGAGATGGGCTCTTGCTATGTTCCCCAGACTGGTCTCAAACTCCCAGGCTCATATAACCTGCCTTGGCCTCCCAAGTATCTGAAACTCCAGATATGTTCCACTGCCCTTTTATAATATGATTGTTTTAAAGTTGGAAATTGTCCCTAGTGAAGTATCCCAAATACAGGTTATGTGGAAGGGGTAAAGGGAAGGGGTCTCACTGTATTGCCCAGGCTGGAGTGCAGTGGCTACTCACAGGTGCAGTCCCACTACTGATCAGCGCGGGAGTTTTGACCTGCTCCGTTTCCAACCTGGGCCGGTTCATTCCGCCTTAGGCAACCTGGTGATCCCCCGCTTCGGAGAGGTCACCCTATTGATGCCAAACCTAGTGCGGACACGTGATCGGCATAGTACACTGCAGCCCAGAACTCCTGGACTCAAGCGATCCTCCCACCTCAGCATCCGGAGTAGCCCGGACTACAGCAGCGCGCCACCACGCCCGGCTATCATGTGATTTTTGAACAGCCACAAAAGCTGGATCACGGAAGCGTTAGCAACTTCACTTGTTCCTGTGATGAATGGATGCCACGTGGACAAATACAGAGTCAGAAGGCACAAGCCACCCCTCCTTAGTACTCCAAGCACAGCAGTTTCTCCTGGAAACAGTGGTCCTGCAGCTCCAGCAGCATTTTTTCTTGACTCTTCTCTACCCAGCTACTCCCAGGCAGTGTATTGGGTGGTGTCCTAACTCTGCTCCCCTCGAAGAGCTGGCCAGCGGCCCACAGCTACCATCAGATGTCCCCTCTGGGGACAGCACTGAGGCTGGAGTCCGGGCCTCGTACATCAACCTCAGAATTGTGTTCCATGGCTCCCTCTGGTGGACTACTGGGGAAGGACCCGAGTCCTTTAATTTCCACCTCTTAGGATGTGTGGGCCCGAAGCTCAGCTGTAATAGCACCTTGGGACATTTCTTTCCCGCTAGTGCCGCGTGGAATTCACCTGATGTAAATGTATAAATCAAATATCTGCCATGCACAAAATACTCCCTCCCCTTATAACTAAGTCACGTACTGAATTGTCTGACCTGGAAACCTGCAGCCGTGAGCTCCTTAGCTGAATTCAACCGCAGAGCAGTTACAAGGAGGGCGACAGCATGTGGCCAGTATCAGACAGGTGAGAGTGGGGAGCTGCTAGATTGCTGGTTAGGTGTAACCAAGGAGACCAGGGAGGGCCTCGTGGAGGAGTGAGCTTAGAATGGGAACTGGATCTCACAAGTGGAGGAAAGGGGGTGCCTCCGGGTGGAGGGAGCAGTAAATGACTGGGGCCCTTTTCACTGTGCACCGTCCCTGCCCGTTCCTCATCTTCCTCCCTCGCGCACGTGCCGATCACAGGGGTCTCCCAGTCTGTTCCTCAGAGGCACTGGGGAACAGGGTAGCATCTCACCCCACCCACTTGGCATCGTGACCGTGCTATCGAATGCTTGGCTTCCAAATCCTGCATTTTGTGCCCTGTCCTGGCTCCAGCTGTCCCTGCCCAGTGGCCTGGGCCCGGCCCCTGCCCCTTTGCTTTTGAGGCCCTCCCCAGGAGCTCCCATGTCTCTCCCTATTGGAGTTTACCCAGTGGACTTCTTGGGGGTGGGAGTCTGGCTTTTTTTTTCCACTACTAGAAATTGAACCCAGGGCCTCAGCACATGCTAGGCCCAGCACTATCCAGTCCCCAAAAGTTCTTGCTTCTTTCAGGAAACATTCTGCATTCTGCTCAGAGTTAAGCATTCTGAGTCCTCCAGGCCTCGGTTTCAGGGTGCAGGGCCCCAGCCCCAGCCCTTACTCTCCCTCACTGCCTGAGGGGACAGCCTGCTTGCCTCCTGCCATTTATTGATTTATTTATTTATCTGTGGGTTTTTTTGAGACAGGGTCCCACTATGTAGTTCAGGATGGCCTTGAGTTCGCTATGTAGCCCGGGCTGATCTCAAACTAGTGGTCCTCACGATTTAGGTCATCTTTCTTCTACCTTGTGGACCCAGAGAACCCTACTCCTCAAGGCCCTCAGACAGGCTGCCCCGGGACTCGGTGTGCGGCCGTTGCTCCAGGGCTCCCCCTCGGCTTCAGGGCAGGAAGAGAGCCCACCTGTGCTGGAGAGACACTGGGGTCGGAGGAGCCCGTCCACCACCGTTGTTGCCTCCTTATTAACTGTTTTTTTGTTTTGTTTTCTACCTCTACCGGATAGAGGGCATCTGCCCTGCTATGAGACAAATGGCCACAAGGGGCGGCAGGAGACAAAACACTTGCCTGGAAATAACCAGACCGCAGCCCTGCCAAACCACTCAGGGCTCAGCCAGTGCTGGGCGATGGACCCAATGCCTCGGCCCCAGACTGTCCCAGAAGAAGCTGGCCGGGTGCCTACGGTAGCCCTGGAATGCAAAGACCCCTGATTCTCCTGCTGCCCGCTCTGGCTCCAGTCCTGAGCTGGGCTTAGGCAGAGGCTCCTGTTTCTCTCCTTCAGAGCATGGGGCGACCGAGTGGCTCGCAGCGCTCCCAATGTGACGCAGGAATGGGGACTGACAGGCACAGCCAGGCATCCCTGAGAGAACGACGCACACCAGGGACCGGAGGAAACCCGAGTGGGAGTGGGGGTGGGGTGGCACTGGGCTCAGGCTGGATGGGGACTGGGGAGGGAGCAGCCGTGGGGTCACGTGGGGTCGCCTGAAGCGGGAAGGGCCGAGGGGGAGGGGACCCCGGGAACAGAGGAGGAAGGAGGGAAGAGCCGGAGAGGCGAGGTCCTGGTGCCCCATGCCTGCGTAGGACCCAGGGCGCGCAGAGCTGGCTCAGCCGGCGTGGGGATGCTGCAGGAGCTGGGAGAGGGGCCCCGGAGATTTTCTGGGCTCCGCTGAAGTGTAGTGAGTGCTGAGGAACTAGGGAGTGCGGGAGATGGGGCCGGGGCTGCAGGTCACCTCCCCCAGCCCCCATCCAGCCCGGAAACTGCCCAGCACTTAAAGGCTCCTGGGAACACTTGTACAATTGAACCCCAAACATAAAGGGAGCAGGGTTCACGGTCCTGCGTCAAGGAAGAACGAGGGCTGGTCTAGGGGGTGACTCTGGGGACAGAAAAGACCAGGGAGTCCAGCTGGCCCTCCCGGGACTCTACCCGCCACCACGGGAGGGGCCAGCTGGGGGCTGCAGGGCTCTATCCGCCGGTTCTGCTCAGCCCCGCCCCTCCCTGCCAGGTGCTCCACCCACTTGTTCCCGGTCTGCAGCAGCCACGCCCCTCTGCCCGCCTCAGCTTCCCTTCTGACCTGGACAGGCCAGGACCAGATGCTCTCTGAGGACCCTTCCGGTGTGAAGCCAGAGGGGATGGGTGTGTGGCACTGGGGGGACAGAACATACTGACCCAGACGGAGGGGAAGGGCTGTTTAATCTGGGCTCCTCGGTGCCCGCGGGGTCTGTTCAGGAAGGGATGGTCTCCCTCGCTGAGGCTCCTCAGGCCGCTCGGGGCTGGGGTCCTGAATGCAGATGCCGGAAGTCTCTGAATGGTCCGGGAAGAGCATCAGTCGTGGGTGGTGGCTCTGAGTGACTTCATGAGGCTCTGCAGGTATCTAACTGCCTTCCTCACGCGCCTGTCCTCAGGGTCCGAGCAGATGTGCCTGCCCTGGACGGTCACAAACCTGCTCGGAGGGAAGCATCGGGTGTGAGAGTCGGAAGAGCCTTCGGGGGTGGGAGAGCCTGCCCGCCCACCCTGTGCTCGCCATGACTTCCAGGTCCCAAGAGGTGAGAATTCTCCTGAAGCCACATCGGCCTGCAGTAGCAGCTGCCCTCTACCTGGCTGCGGCCCAGGAAGGGGAAGTGACCACATGGTCACTGGATGGCTGCATGACCTGGGGTGTCCCATCCCTCCCAGTGAGTCAACAGAGAGGTTGGACCTCGTGGCCTGCAGCCCTTTGGGTGCCCCAGGGGGCAGGCTGGCAGTAGGGGGGAGGGGCTCCTCTCTCCCCATCTCCCTAGTGGCTGTCCTGGAGCTCCAGGGTCCCAGGAGTAGGGGTGCAGTGGAGGGGGACTCACACGATGGCGTCCTTGGGACACTCGGCCGAGGTCCTGTACCAGTGCACCAGCTTTCTGGTGGGAATGGCTCCCTTGAAGTGCTCCAGGCAGCACTCTCGTCCCACGTTGGTGGCTCGAGCTACAGACAGAGCAGCAGCGGTGTCTGAGTGTCTGGGGGGAGGGTGTCTGCGGTGTGTGTGTGTGTCTGTCTGTCTGTCTTTGTGTCTGCATGTGGTGACTGCATGTGTGTGTGCTTGTGTCTCTCTGTGCCTGTGTTCTTGGGGTGGGTCCGTGTGCGAGTGTTCGAGTGGGTGATTTTGTGTCTCTGTGTTAACGTGTGCATGTGTGTGTGTGAGGCCTCTGTGAGGGTCCTGTGTGTTTGTGTGTGTGTGCACTTACCTGTGTGTGGGTCTCTAACCAGCAACCTTATTTTAACTTTCCCTTCCCAACTGAATATAAAATCCTCTTTTTTCACACGTTCTTGGAGCCAGTCCTCCTGTCTTTATGCTGCTTCCCTTATGGTACATAAAAACCCAGTAATAAAACAGCTACTAACCCGTAACTGTGAGAATCAGACTCATTCATTCTGCACTGCAGACCCACAGTCACTGCGTCCTTACACTGCAGTCCCAGGTGTGCTGTACATTGTCCCGCCCCGAGCCTGTGCCGAAGCGCAAGGGCACAACCTCATCCCCATTATCGTCCTCCAAAATGCCAGCCCTGGTATCCTCTGTGAGCATAGACAGGGCCCACCACTGCGTCCTTACACTGCAGTCCCAGGTGTGCTGTACATTGTCCCGCCCCGAGCCTGTGCCGAAGCGCAAGGGCACAACCTCATCCCCATTATCGTCCTCCAAAATGCCAGCCCTGGTATCCTCTGTGAGCATAGACAGGGCCCACTGCTGCCCCCTGCCTGGCACCTGTGCCCTGCTCTCACCTGCATGGCCACACTGCAGAGAGGCGCTCAGAAGCAGGGTGGCCAGCATCAGCGTCTGCAGGGATGTCATGGCGCCAGGGCCGGGAGAAGTTCTCTGGTCCCTCTGCTCAGCAGAGATGAGCATGATGGTGAGGTTGGGGGTGACTTATTTAACCTCTTCAAGGTTGTGCTCCACCTCTGTCGCCTCCCACTCCCTTCCTGGGCCAGGGCTGTTCACAGAATTTGAGATGATTCGGTAGAAGTCCAGTCTTGGAATGTTTGCGGCTTTCCAGAGAACGGGTACTGAACTGAGGACAGAAGTGGAGTCCGTGTGTCCAGGGACAGGACAGTGACACTTCTGCTTTCCCAGGGGACATTTCTTGGTTCCTCTATTAGCAGAAGCAAGAGGCCTCTGTCCTGCACTGGGTTTACCCTGCTCGGATGCTGGTGAGAGGCCTTCATGTCTGGCGCCCTGTGGGGACAGATACGGTGGACAAACAGCAGAGGCCAAGTGAGCCAAGAGCTTTGGGGTGCTAGGAGGGTCCCCTGGGGGCTGCAGCTGTGCACAGGCGCCTAGCTACTCTGCAAGAAGGCCAAGCCCTGGGGCTCTGAGAAAAGTCTGAGGCTCAAAAGGGCCCCGAGGACAGCTGCCTTGCCTTCCCCAGACCGGGCTTTAAGCACATTGAGTCCATACTGAGCTCTGATGAGTGCGGAGCCCTGTTCCCCAGACTGGGGCCCTTGCTTCAGGCACTTGCAGAATGGAAGATACTCAAGAGATGCAAAGCTTCATGGCAGAGTCCAGCTCGAGCCCCAGTCAGGTTCCCACCAGGCCTCAGCACGCTTTCTAGGAGCCCAGCTTGGAACTCTGCACACTTCACGGGGAGAGCATCACTGCACACCCATCAGTCCCCTGAGCAGCAGGGCTCCCGAGGGACAGAGCATTAGAAGGGACCCATGTGCTGGGAATGGTGCATGCCTGTAATCCCAGCAGCACTCAGGAGGCTGAGGCAGGAGGATCACCACAAGTTCAAGGCCAGCCTGAGCTACATAGTGAGACCCTGTCTCAAAACACCTAAATAAATACATCAGAAGGAACCCCTGCCTGCCCTCAGGTGTGCAGCATCCTGGCAGGGCAGCTTGAGACCTGGAGGTGACTGGACTTTGACTGTGACACATGGGGTCTGGGCCTGGCTTCCCCTGTCCCTGAGGCACCAGGGGCAGCTGAGAATGACACCCCCCCAGCCCGGGATGTGCTACCAGGTGCATTGGGCTCTCTCAGGGTCAGCTCTGTGATAATCACTGAATCATTATTAAATCTGTACTAACGGTGATGACAACATGTGCTGATGTTTGTTGAAACCCAACTCCCAAGGGCAGGACTCTGAGTGTAACCTCATCCATCCCCGGACACCTAGGAGAAGACCAGGTCATATCAGGACAGGACAGGTGCCCCTCAGAAGGCAGGACTGTTTTAGTTCCTGGGGATGGGAGATATCTCCTGTCCATGTGAGCAGGATCCTGTGCCACTACCCAGCTGTGTGACCTCAGGCAGCTCATAGGTCCTCTCTGGGCCTCAGTTTCCCCTATAGAGGGAATTCTAGATGGTCCTCCGGAGTCCAGCCAATGACAGGTCTAGGAAAAATGGATTCCTCCCGTGGTGGTGCTCACACCAGCATTTATGTTTCTGCTTCTCTGGAGTCACATCAGCTGCTGGAGACCCTAACCCTGCACCTCCCTAGGTCAGAGTCTGGGTGGTGTCTCTGTCCCTAGCTTCCTTGCCGGGGCCCTCTCTCCTGTCCCCAGGGCACCTTTCCACCTGCACATGGTGTGGGTCTCCTGAGGGTTCACCCCCTGGTGCACAGAACCTGCTCCTGTACATCACAGGAGCAGCCAGCTGGCTGGGCTGGAGAAGGGGCACAGGGTCCAGGCGCTGTGGCCTGGAGCAGGAGGCCTGGGCCGTAGGAGGAGGTGTGAGGGGGAACATCTCTGCTGATCTCCCGGGACCTGGTTGCCTCCCGCCGACCTTATTACCCCATGCCCTCTGCCCAGTGGCATATTCCCACCCTCTTGGGTCTTCTCCATCTGCCCCTCATTACTATTTTGGGCAATGGGCTGCCCTGATGCAGTTAATGACTTGACCCCCCACTTCCGGGGAACTCCCCGCCTGGGTCCTGGTCCTCTGTGTCTGCTGCCCACTCAGAACTTTTCTGCAGAAGGACGTAAATTCCCCTCTCCTTCTAGGGAACTGGTCCTAGCAGCAGGGGCAAAGGTTCTGAATTAGTTCTGGGCTAGTGCAGCTGCCGGCCAGAGGGGGACAGAGCGGTGATGCTGCTTGGGTGGTCCCTTGGTGCCGCACCAGGGTTGGGGAGACCACAAACGCCTGATGCAGCCTTGCTCTTGTGGAGTTCACAGGAGGGGTTTAGAACAGACCTGAGACCCCAGGATGCAGGGTGGGCAGAGGCTGCTTCTGGCCTGCAGACCTCAGAAGGCTGCCTGGAGGTGGTGGCAGGGGCCTGGTAGGCAAGACTCATACCAGCAAGGCAGGGAGGGCACTGCCCAGGCGAAGGCGCACAGGAGGGAATGTGGGAAGATAAACTAGGAGAGCAGCAGGAACTCTGGTGGGGAAACAGCCCCATGCGAGGCTCAGGTCCATGAGGACAGGGCTGTGGCCACTTCACCCTGCACCAGGCCGTCCCCTGCGCCCAGCACAGTGTCAGACACATTCGGACAGACTGTCGGTAACTCTTAGCCTGGTGAATTCAGGACAGAAGGAAGCAGAGGCCAGGTGCCTCCCAGCCTTGTTTGGAGTGCAGCATAGCCAGGGACATTTGTAAGGTGGTTTCCTAATTAGGGATTAACCAGACTTAGTCCTTTGTTTCCCCAGGCAATGACGTGGACACCAAGGGAGCTTCCCAGAGTCCTGGAATCTGAGTGTGGGAGCAGGGCGTGGGGACCTTTCCAGTGCAGCAAGATCACGGGCCGGGATGACGATGGGATGCCTGGGGGAGGCGGCAGCCTCTAGGAGGGCTTTGTAGAGGGCATGGGAGCACGTGTCCTGGCTGGAGGTAGAACAGGGAACAGGCTGGGCACAGGCTGGACACGGTGGGGTAAGGAGCAGAGTGTGGAAGGAGAATTGCGTGTGAGAGGGAGGGAGTGGCCCTGGTAACCTCTGACTGAGGAGGCTGGACACCGCGTGTCAATGCACTGTCCCCTCCTGCCCAGTCCCCGGGCTGATGCCTCAGTGGAGACCTTTGGGGTAACACCAGCCCTAGGTGTCAACCTCCACCCTGATTTGGCCAGAAGGATTCTGGGCCCTTTACCCTAAAACAAAGGAGCAAGCCTCCCCCCCCCCCCCCCCCCGCGGGGATGGGGCAGGACCGGATATGCTCTGGGTCACAGACAGGCAAGTGGCTGGGGTGGAAGCTCTTCATTTCCTTCCATCCCACACAGGCCAGGAGCAGAAGTCTGGCCAGAAGTGCAGGTCACAGCAGTCCACCAAGGCCTGGCCATCCCAGGTCACAGCAGTCCACCAAGGCCCGGGCAAGTGCGGTGACTTCCCTGGGCCTCCCAGAACTCTCCAGAAGGATCCTGCTTTTGTCCACTCAGCACCACCCTCTAGCAGCGGAAGCTGGATTTATCCTGCCCTGCTGGGGACCAGAGATCAGGGCCAGTTCAGCTAAGATGTGAGGGTCCCCAGTGCGGTTTCCACCCTTCACCCCCAACTGTGGCCCACCTCAGTCTGAGGAGTCTGTCATTCCTGAGGCCCACCCCGTGTTCTCCCGCTTCAGAGCCCACATTCGGTCAGTCAGCAAGGCCTGTGGAGTTAGGCATTGTGAGCCATCTCCTCACCATCCACATGCTCCACCTCTGTCTCTCTGCTGGACCCTGGCCTCTACTTCTGTCCCAGCTTCCAGGCTGCCCCTGCAATGTGTCCCCTCTCTAAAGCCCGGTCACATAATTCTGAGCAAGGCTTTGCCCTCCTAAGATTCTTCAGTGAGTGGCCTCCCTGTTGCCCTCAGGAAGAAGCTAAATTCCTCCTACTCTTCCTGCCTCAACTGCTTCCTCCAGCCTGCACCCGTTGCACCACTGGGCTTTCAGTTCCTGGAAAGGTGGGCTCTGGCTGATCCCCAAGGCTGAGCTGTTGCTCTGTCTAGAACACTCACTTCCACCCACTGCCCCACTTCCTTTCACTCCCTCCTCCTTCAGATCCAGCTGGGACCTGCACTTCCTTCCTCCACTGCACTTCCTCCAACTCCCACTTCCCTGTGCCCCCAGAGGTCACTGACACCCCCACCCCATCATGGCTGTCTTCACAATGTGTGGCGGTTGCTGGTTTATTTGTTGTGTCTCACACAGAAGGCCGGGGAATCCTTGAAAATGAGTATCAGTTTTGTGTTCCAACTTGTCTCTGTGGGCTTAGCACCCAGTAGGTGCACAATAAGGGATTTGTTGAATGGACAAAAAGGCAGGTAGCTGGACAGGTGGGTGGATGGGTGGATGGAGGGAGGGATGGAAGGATGGGCGGATGGGCTGATGGGTGGGTGGATACATGCATGCATGGGTGCCTGAATAGATGGATGACCACTTACAAATTTCTGAACTGTGGCATGGGCCCAGGTTACATTCTATCCCAGGGGCTTGTTCACTTTAGTTTTTTTTAATTTTTTTTTTTTTTTTTTGAGACAGGGTCTCACTATGCAGTTCAGGCTGGCTTTGAGCTCACTTTGTAGCCCAGGCTGGTCTTGAACTCGCAATGATCCTCCTGCCTCAGCCTCCCGAGTACTGGGATTACAGGCGTGCGCCACCACGCCCGGCTTTCACTCACTTTAGAACCAATTATTTTTGACCCACCGTGTCCTGCCAGTTCACCAATCACTCTCAAATCCTTTTATCACAGATGAGGCGGAGGAACCCAACCAAGGGGACTCTGACTCTTTTTTAAAAATCTGGTTTATAATTTTCTTGTAGGTTTTGGCCATTTTCTGCTAACCCTGAATCGATCAGTGGTGGCTTTTTTTAACCCCCGGCCGTCTTCACCCCAGGGGGGCCTCCTTCTTCAGCCACAGGTCTGCCGCCTGGCTCTTCGCAGCCTCCCACCTGTGGCCTCAGCTTCTGCCAACAACGTGGCCCTGTCTCTCCATTCATTAAGTCACCCCTCCTCTCCGCACCCCTGTGCACCCCCCTTTTACTTCTCCTTTCATTCATGACCTGGATCTCTGCCATGTGGCCTTCACTTCTCACTGTCATTTTCTCTCTGCCTACTTATGATTTTAAAAAGTTTTCTTTATTAGTACCTGTTTGCAGTATATAATGATTACATTCCTCGTGGGAGCTGGAGCTGGTACATGGCCATAGCACATCTTAACTATTCTTTTTACCTCTGCTTTCTCTCCCCTCGCTCCAACTCTTGGTCCTCTTCCTATTCCATAAGATCTATCTCTCTTTTCTTTCTTTCTGTTTTGTTTGAAACAGGCTCTCACTCTGTAGTTCAGTCTGACCTTGAACTCACTATGGAGCCCAGGCTGGCCTCAAACTCACAGCCAGCTCTTGTTTCAGCCTCC